ATAGCTCACTTGCGGCATGTTGGTGCTGCCTGTTGATAGGAGTCCTAAGTTACTTACTTAAGACTTTTCTACAGAACTGCTTAAGTGTTATCACATCTAGGACGTGACTTTCCCCCAGAAGAAGTGATCCAAGAGAGAGTGAGATGAAAGCAATGATTGTTATGTTCTAGCCTCAGAATTCACATTCACCATTTCTTTAGTATGCTGCTGATTACACAGGTTGACCCTATTCCATATGGAATGAAGTATGAGTACTAGAGAGAGTCATTGAGGGCTATTTTGGAGTGTGGTTATTGTGGGCATATTTCCTTTTTAATTTCTTTTGTGAGATAAGGGTAAACAGTCAGCCTGCTTTCTTTAACTGTAAGTCCTATTTGTCATTTTAGGTCATTGATTTGAAAGGAAAATGTAAACATATAAAAAATAGTCCATATTAAAATGGAACTTAGCCTATATCATGACACAACTTATACAGTTTTAGGACTTTAGACATTTCTTTTATGATTGTTCAGAGCCTTAAAAAATATTAAGGCTTTTAAAAATACTACTTCACATTCAGCAAAGTCATTGCTTGCTAAGGAAAACCTAACCAAGTCCCTCTTGCACCTCATTGAGAACAAGAGAAAAGTAATTCAGGATGTTGGAAATCTGCAGCTAACAAAACATTGTTTTCACTGATTGCTTCATTTATGGGTTTTTTCTGTTTTATCTGTTTTTATTGTTGCTGTTGTTATTGACTTATTTGATTTCTTATATGTTAGTTTTTAATGGTACTTGTGAACTATGGGAGATAACTAATGAGGCAGGATGGTGCTTTGGTATAAACCAATATATTACTTTTCTTTTTAAAAATATTAAAATAAGTTTTTGAAATGTGCCTTTTGGGGGAAGAATAATTTAGAAGTAAAGGACATTTCAAATCAAATTTTGGCTAGCAGAAAAAAAAACACCCCAAAACCTTTTTTCAAGGTAAATTGCACATTTCCATATGCTCATATGCTGGAATTAAACTGTGTTACTGACCTCTGCTTCATAAATAACATCTCAGCTATAGTAAAATGTTAATCTTTTTCTGAAACTTTAAAAAAAAGTTTTGGGAATTTTGTCAAAAAATTCTTCCTGTAAGATATATTCTAAAATGAGGATTTAAGCCATCATTTTAATAGTGTGCTTTTTGCTCTATGGAATGTAAGATTTATAATTTAAATTAATGTCTGAGTTGTCATGTCTTAAGGATTGATGATACTGTTAGTATCAAATATTCAGTATGATGTATTTTCACAGCTGCAAGCTTATCTCAAGAGTCTTATTTAAAAAATCACTTTAGCAAAATCAACAAATAAGCAAGGTAGACAAATAAATCAAGACTCGACTCTGGAATCTCTCATTGTTGGATTTATTCATTCTTATTAGTATAAGTTATTTTATGTAGAAAGTTTAACTGGAGGCCTATTTTCTTCCTTGGGATTTTTCTCTATTGGTAGGTGAACATAGATTCTTGTTTTGATAGTGGTACAAAAATTTACTTAATATCTAAAGAACTTCTAAGTTATTTTAAAACCTGTTAGGGTTTTTTAAACCTGAGGAACACTTTGCTTTTAGCATAATATATTTTCCTTAAATTATGAGAGGAACTGTTACTTAAAGTAGAGAATATATAATATCAGATATTATCATTTCTGTTTATGTTTTTGTTTTGTTTTTTGTTTTTGCCTCTGGTCTAATAGACATATTTATTACTATCTAAAATATGCTGATGCTTAAACTTCTTTCCCCTTGGCTTTTTGGATAAGGCTGATAAAATTATAGTATGATATTTAAGAGTATAAGCAAGCTCTGGAATTAATACCTGGGTTTAAATTCTACCATTTGGTTGTGGAACTTGGGACATGTTCTTGCTAATGTAAATCTCTTGTTTCCTCATCTGTAAGATGTGGATAATAATAGTATCTTCTTTATGAGTTGTAAAGATTAAGTGAGATTATCAACTTAACACATTTAGCACAGCTCTGGGTGCATATGAAGTGCCAAACCTACAGCATGGAGAAATACTTCTAGAACAATAAACTAAAAACCTCCAAAAATCTCCTTTACAAAAGCTATGAAAACACCAGCAAGAATTGCCAAAATCAAAATTTTAAGAATTCTGAAAATTAATGAAAAAATTCTAGAAATTTAAGGGGCATTTATTCAAGAAAAATGGCTTTGTGAGAACAGTGAACTTGTGGATTTTTAATTTGATCTATTCCCATCTCCCTCTCCTCCATAGTCTTGAAAACTAGCAAGCTCACAACTGTGGTAATTGCAAAAACCAGGAGCCTGGCAACCACCAAAAGAAACTTAATGGCTTTGGAGCTTCACAAAATTCTCACTGTTTTGACCTGTGTGGCAGCTCCCCACAAAGTTCCATTCTCAGGACTTTCTTTGATCTCTGTAGGAAGGACCTATCCCTATGGCCTTTGTCAAAAACAATCGGTGGCAATTGTTTAACATTACATACAGGAGGTGGTGATACCAATCAGGGCTAATAAGAGGCTGATCAAAACACTTAAAAGGAAAAATTGAAAAACGAGATTTTAACAGGGGGCTTTGAAAAGTTCCAGTATATTCCTGGGAATCTAGAAGGCCACAGGCATGCACAGGACTATGCATATGTCCAGGAAAGGCCTAGCAGTCCCCAGCCCCTCACTGCTGGCTGACCTTGATATTCTGTATAAGTGGGGAATAAAATTTCAGGCAGAAAAAAGAGAAAAATGATTAATTGGAATTTATCAAAAGTAAAAACTCTTGTGCTTTAAAGGACACCAACAAGAAAGTGGAAAAAAAAAACAGCATATTTCTCCCAATATTGAGAGAAATACTTATAAATCATGTACCTTGTAAAGATACATGTCCAGAATATATAATGAATGGTTACCACTCAACCATAAATGGACAAAGGATTTGAATAGACATTTCTCCAAAGAAGATATACAGAAGCCAGTGTGGAGATGAAAGATGCTCAAAATTGTTAGTCATTAGAGAAACTAAAGAACACTTAACACCCACTAGAGTGGCTACAATGTAAAAAATGGACAATAATAGTTATTGGTGAGGGTGTGCAAAAATCTAAATCATTGTGCATCCCTACTGGGAATGGAACATGGTGGGGTCTCTTTGCAAAGCAATTTGGCAGTTCCTCAAAAAGTTAGAGTTACCATCTGACCCCTCCTCTCTTAGGTATATACTCAAAAGAATTGAAAACATTAAAAACTTTTACACAAATGTTCAAAGCAGACTTATTCATGATAACCAAAAGTGGAAACAACTTACATTTCTATCATTTGAAGAATGGAGAAAAAAAAAGTGGTATATCTATATAATTTTGCCATAAAAAAGAATGACGTACTGATACTAGCTACATCTTAGATGGATCATGAAAACATTATGCTAAGTGAGAGAAATCAAACACAAAAGGCCACATATTGTTTGGCTTCACTTACATGAAGTTTCCAAAGTAGGAAACTCTAGAGACAGTGAGTAGATTAGTTTCCAGGGGCTAGAGAGAAGAGGGAATGAAGAATGACTGATAATGGGTACAGAGGTCCCTGTTGGGGTGGTAAAAATAGTCTGGAACTAGAAGGCGGTGCTAATTGCATAACTCAGTGAATATACTACAAAAACACTGAATTGTACACTGAAAAAGATGAGTTTTACACTATATGAGCTGTATCTCCATAAAGCTGTTATTAAAAGACAAAACATGGAAAGAAAAAAACAGGGGTACCTGAGTGGCTCAGTCAGTTGAGTGTCCCACTCTTGGTTTTGGCTCATATCTCACTCAACCTCATGTGGGAGTTTGAGCCCCACATCGGGTTCTGTGCAGACAGGACGTAGCCTGTTTGGTAGTCAGTCACTCCCTCTCTCTCTCTGCCCCTCCTGGCTTGCACTCTCTCTCTCAGGATAAATAAATAAACATTTAAAACATACACACACAAAACAACAGAGGCACCTAGGTGGGTCAGTTGGTTAAGTGTCTGACTTTGGTTCAGATCATGATCTCACAGCTCATGAGTTCGAGCCCCAAATCGGACTCTTTGTGGACAGCTCAGAGCCTGGGGTCTGCTTTGGATTCTGTGTGTCCCTCTCTTTCTGCCCCTCCCCTGCTCACGCTCTGTCTCTGTCTCTCAAAAATAAATAAACATTGAAAATAATTTTTTTTAACACAAAACAACAGAACGGGCACCTGGATGGCTCAGTTGGTAAAGCATGTGAGTCTTGATCTCAAGATTGTTAGTTTGAGCCCCACAATGAGTGTAGAGATTACTTAAAAATTAAAAAACTTTTTTTTTGAAGCAAACAACACCACCAAAAACCCTACAGCATGTCATTTAAATGGATCACTTAGTATTGAAAAATAAAAATCACTCCAAAGCCTTCTTGCTTAGTGGGCTCTTCTATAGTGTTTGCAGTTGTTATTTTTAATGAATTGTCAGAAGACTGGAATTTCATTTGTAGAGCTGTATGTGAACCAGAGTCGTATGACTGTTTTTCAGTTATTCAAAGGTTAGTCAGAACTGGATATGAGAAAAAATTCTTTAGAATTAGCCAAATTGAGATTTCAGTATTTTTGTAGAAAGTTTTACTTCAGTCACAATTGTGAGTTATAATATCTTTGAGCATTCTTTGCATGATAAAATCCTCCCCTCTTTTTTGATGCTTCATCTTCTGCTATTTGTATTGGTGAACTGTAAGATAGTTTTCTTTGTATCCTGTGGGTTTAAGCTACTGAATTCAAACCTTATTATAAAGTTGTACTCCTTCTTCAACTGAATTTTGAAATTCATTTGTAAAAGCTGTAAAATTCAGTTGTAACATTTAGCTGTAAAATCTTATTGAATTATTTTTATGGTTTAATCGAATTGAGTACACTTTGATGTTAGCAAGATCCTATTTCCCATCTTTTATAAAGTTTTCTTCCTTGTATCAGGGGAATGTGTTGTAACCTGCTGTATTCCTAGCTTGCAGAACACCGAGAAGCACGGCACGCGTATAGCCTGGAGTCGCTCTGCCACTGCCCTTTTTATGAAGAAGCCATGCATCTAGTTGAAGAAGGGAAAATTTACTCGAGAGTGCTTAGGTACCATTTCAGTCTTGCTTTTGTTTATGAAAAACATTAAGTTGCTGTTGCTATGTTTGTGTAATATTTATCAAAGATGTTTATGAGAATGGGGGCAAATGTTTTTTAGGCTGAAAAAAATTTTTTACATGGTTGTCAGTATTGAAAAGACATGTGTTTTATATTAAGGTCTGGAGGTTAAGCCTTGTTTGAGTCCACATTTGTAGTGGGCTTGATCTTGAATGCAGTTTAATGGTTGTCTTCCCTGTTTACTACATAGAACTGAAATGTTGGAGTGCCTAGGAGACAGTGATTTTCTTGCCAAACTTCACTGTATTCGACAGGCTTTTCAGGTATTTTTTTTTTTTTTTTAACATTAAGTGACTTCACCTAGCCACTCATCCCCACCTTCATGCTATAGAACCTAGCCGTATATAAACAAAGCAACTCTTTGCTCTTCATTATCCTTATTTTTAATGGCAAGTATAAAATCTACTAAGTTTATTTTCCCTGCTTCCTATTTCCTTTCATTAGTCTTCATTTTTCTTTGCCCTGTGCCATGGCTTCCCAGGTCCACCACACTTTGTCAAACAGGGTATTTTGATACTGGAGATGTGTACAAATGGCTGCTTAAAATAAAATACCTTTCTTATTATCAATTAGTGTGTTTTCTAGATTGCTTTTTATTTGAATCAATCGTAAAATCATTGATTTCCTAAAATGAAATAAAATCCTTTAAGAAAAAAAGTAGCCTTGTTTTTCTATGTTTTGGGGACTATGTAACATTTATTTTGGATTTTCTAATATTGAACAGAATTTAAATTCATATTATTTCCCTTTAATCTTTTTTATTATAGGTTTCAAGAGCTCTTTTTATTTTAGTAAATTGCAACATTCTCTGTGGTCTACATGCTGAGATAGTGCCACATACAGTGCATTGACTGTAGCAGGGTCGCTTATGCGTAGATGTGCTGTAAAATCAAATGTCCGTTCAAATTAATTATTGGTTTCTTTTTTCTTTGGGGTTGAATATTTTTTTTAGGTAATACTTTCGGAAACCACCAACAGGATATTCCTTGCTGAGAGTGGAAGGAAAATTTTGTCAGCATTAATTGTGAAAGCACGAAAGGTAAACTTGTTTTCTTGGTACGTTTTTTATTGTTGTTCCAGTTGAACTAAAGATTACAGTACATTGAATTTTTATTCAAAGAAAACGTTTTTGCAGATCATTGCAGAGGCGCACATACTAAAAATCAGTTAATAAAAATAACAATAAATTATCAAAGAACATGATTTCGTCTTGGGTTGACTTAGTGTCTACATATGAAGTCTACACTATTTTGATCAAGTTGTCGCTCATAAATTATTCCCAGTTTTCTATAAAGTCTGTGAATGTCCTGTTGAGAGTCATTGTTAGATATGCCACAACTACCACTATTGTTATTTCTAATCCTTCCTCTCTTACTTCCCTCAAATCCTGGTTGCTAAGGTTCTAGGAAATAGAAGTGGTCTCAGAAATCTGGAGATACAAATTGAGTAGCCTCTTACTCTTACTCATGGGGCTGAATGAGGCAGAGCAATTGCAAGAACTTTATTAAGACTGTAAGGAACCACTTCCCTTTAGGCAAGCTGTATCCAGATGTTGAGAAAAAAATCAAATGAAACAGGGCTTTCTTGAGCCACTTGGAACACCTGGTTTTCTGGCCCAGTTCTTTTCTTTTGTTTTTTCTTTTTTTTAAATATTTTATTGTCAAGTTAGCTAACATGCAGTATATACAGTGTGTTCTTGGCATTGAGAGTACATTCCTGTGATTCATCACTTACATACAACACCCAGTACTCATCCCAACAAGTACCCTCCTCACTGCCCATCACTCATTTTCCCTGCTCACCCCCTGCCTCCCTGCCTCCCCACCTCCTTCCACCCTCAGTTTGTTCTCTGTATTTAAAAGTCTCTTATGGTTTGCCTCCTTCTCTGTTTATAACTTTTTTTTTTCCCTTCCCCCATAGTCTTCTGTTAAGTTTCTCAACTTCCACTTATGAGTGAAAACATATCTGTCTTTCTCTGACTGATGTATTTCACATCCATGTTGTTGCAAATGGCATGACTTCATTCTTTTTCATCACCAAGTAGTATTCCATTGTGTATATATACCACATCTTCTTTATCCATTCATCAGTTGATGGACATTTGGACTCTTTCCATAATTTGGCTATTGTTGATAGTGCTGCTATAAACATTGGGGTACATGTGCCCCTATGAAGCAGCACTCCTGTATCCTTTGGATAAATTCCTTGTAGAGCTATTGCTGGGTCATAGGGTAGCTCTATATTTAATTTTTTAAGGAACCTCTACACTGTTTTCCAGAGTGGCTACACCAGTTGGTATTCCCACCAACAATGCAAGAGTAACCCAATTCTTTTGAACCTCAATTACTTCATTTGCATAATAGAATTATATTTATGGTACACTATTGAGAGGGTTCTTACGATGATTAATTAAAAGGTAAGTAGGGGGGCGCCTGGGTGGCTCAGTCAGTTAAGTGTCCTACTCTTGATTTAGGCTCAGGTCATGATCTTACAGTTCATGAGTTTGAACCCCACGTTGGGCCCTTTGCTGACAGCTCAGAGCCTGGAGCCTGCTTCGGATTCTGTGTCTCCATCTCTCTTTGCCCCTCCCCTTCTTGTGCTCACATTCTCTCTCTCTCAAAAATAAAAAAAAATTAAAAATAAGTAAATAAGTGCAAAATAAATGTAAGGTGATATTAACTGCTTGCAATTCCCATTGTAAATCTTATGTTGCTTCCTTGGCCTTCCCCTGACAGATTAAAACCAGTGATTTCAACTAGAGATTCTCTAAAAGGAGTAGAACTGCATCAAAAGCATCACAGTATCTGCTGTAACCCAAGTTTTCATCCTAAGAACTGACCTAAACTGGCATACATATTTGATTAGTAAGCAGTGTGCTTATGACATCTTACTAATGTTCTTAGTCTTGGCTCCTGCCATATGTTGGAATAACAAAATATTAAACCAAGTGAATATGGCATATCTTGAAAATGTATTTTAATTCAGTTACTTAATAGAATTAAGATCTAACAAACATACTTGAAGAGTAACTCATTTGCTTTGTAGGCTTGAGCTTTGTTATAAGGTTAAGTTTAGGATTAAAATGTGTTTTCTTCTACAGAATCCAAAGAAGTTTGAAGATGTTTTTGATGAAATGATATATTTTTTAGAGCAGACTGATCACTGGGATAGTACTGAAATGGAACTTGCTGCTAGAGGAGTAAGTTTAAATTTTTTATAATATTCATTCCCCTTAGTTATATACATATAATATTTACATTATCTGGGGCCACTATTTCCTTGTCCCTGTTAAATGAGAGTAAAGCCAATTATGTGGTGTGGTTATGACAGTCATAAAAAATAGCAACCATAGTCTTTATAGCAATAGTTGAAAATGTTTTTTTAAGCTCACCATTCTTTCCTTCCTTCCTTCTTTCATCCATCAATGAGAAGGCCCTAGCAGGATGGTCGTGGTGATCTGTGCAAGGTTGGCTTTGAGTGGGACAACAGACTTCTTAGAGAGGCCAGGGGATTGGCTACTCAGTATCAAACAAATAACTAAATATATTGAGAATAATGGGAGCCAGGTTTCTCACTATCACAGAAGGAAGGTATAAAAAGCTAGGGTTGGAATTGGAGCTGTCCGTGTGGATTTGTAGTTTCCCAGATAGTTAGAGAGACAGACAGACAGCTGCAGAAAGAAATATAAAGGTTTGCATATATATAAGCCTACTTAGAGTTCCTAGTTTGTTCACTGAGAGGATCTGGTAGCAGCAACACCTCAAAAGAAATTATTTCTAGCACATGGAGCTTGTCTTCTAAGTACCACTCTTCACTAAATGGAAGGAGGACTCCTTGGAAAAATGGCTGATCTCAGAACTGGGATAGGAGAAGTCCATGATGAGCCTGGAACATTTTGTAACAGAAGCTTAAAGAATGAGTTTGCAAGGGGCTGAAAGGCTTTCTAGGCAGAGAAAAACGTCGGTACACAGAGACATAATCTTTCTTTTTGTGGTGTTCCCTCACTTGGTGAAGGAATTGGTATCCATGCAGTTGTGTGGCCAGAACCTGGGATTCCACCCTCACACCCCCCTGGTCCTTGCCTGCTCTGTCATATTTATGTGTAGGTTTGGTCAGTTTTAACCTCTAAATCTTTTTGCTTTTTCTTCAACTTCTCTCTTACCTGCCATTGCCATTGTAGCCTTAGCAACTACTCTTTTCCCTGGACCACTTCAGTCTTTGCATTCCTGGGTCCCCTCACTACCCCTCCCTCCCCACCTCCCCACCTCCCCATCACCTTTTCTCCTCTCCTCTTCCCACCTCCCCATCACCTCTCCTCCCCATCACCTCTCCCCTCCTCACCCCTTTCCTTCCCTCCCCTCCTCTCCACATTGCTTTATAAACAGTCTTTATAACATGCAGATCTGATCATCCATCTCTTCTCCACCACTGCCTCCCCAAAATACTAGATAAAATCTAAAATCATTCACATGGACCCAGCACTTCCTTTTTGTCTCCAGCCACTTGCCCCTATGCTCTTTGCTATAGAGATTACAGCACACTTTCAGTGATTTTCTTTGACTCCACACTACTGTGTTACTTCTTTCCTTAAATGCTTTGACAGGTACTTCCTGTACCTGGGATGCCTTGCTCCTTAAAGAAAGCCCTCTCTGAAATCTAGTCTAGATTAGAATTTCTGTCATAAAGTTCTCATAGACCTCATACTTTTTCCTTTACTGGGTTTATCACAGTTTATAATTGTGTATTTGTGGAATTACTAGTTGCTGTCTGTTCTCTCCATTAAATTCTAAGACTCTAATTTGGTTGCTGTAGAAGTCTGAGAACCTGGTACAATGTGGTACAACACAATACGCATGAATGAATGAAGGAGCAAGAGGCTCACTGTGTGGTGGGGAAGATAGGCAGACATGCCAGTAACTAAATAACAAATGAGTTGAGTATTGTGAATGCCATAATAAAAGCATCAACAAAGGACTCCTAGAATACAGTGAAGGAGAGATTAATTTCACCTGATGGGATCTAGGAACGAACAGCTGTTTTATGTGAATTACAATTTCTGGTGACGAGTTGTTTTCATATTTGTTTCTCCTCTTCCTCTTTTTTTCTCAGAGATCTAATATGATTCAAACTAAGAACACCCTGCTGTTATAAAGAATGGTTCAGACTGTATTCCAGTGTTATATAACAATAATTTGTGTTTTAACTCATAATTTAATGCAGGTGAAAAATCTGAATTTTTATGATGTTGTTCTGGATTTTATATTAATGGATTCCTTTGAAGATTTAGAAAACCCACCCACATCCATACAGAATGTAGTAAATAACCGCTGGCTAAACTCTTCCTTCAAAGAAACTGTAAGTGGTGGTTTACCTTGTTTTCAACCATTTCAGTTTGATGAAAAATGGTCAGAACTGGGAAGATTAATAAGATTTACTTATATTTCTGCCTATAGAATGACTAGTGTGGAGACTGAGTTCATTCTTTGATATTGGAATCAGACGTGTACGATACACTATGTCTTCAGATGAAATTCCTCTTTGGCTCTCGTCAGTCCCTCCCTTGACCTGGAGGACCCAGTATTTCTTCAGATCTTGAATAAACTCAGGCTTCAGACTAGTTCAGGCCTAACCAAAAATTGTAACTGAACTGGCTCTGTGACTGAACTCAATATAGCAGTTGTAAAAAGACAATATGTATTTCTCAGAGGAAATATGGAGATTCATGTTCTCAAATAATATCAAAAATTAGGGGAGAAAGGAGCGCCTGGCTGGCTCAGCTGTTAGAACATGTGACTCTTGATCTCGGGTTAGTGAGTTCAATCCCCACAATGGGTGTAGAAATTACTTAAAAATAAAAAATTTGTAAAATTTTTTTTTAATTAGGGTAGGAAAAGAAAGAGGCGTGTGCAGACATAAAACCAGTTTAAACTGTATTCTGTACTTTGTTTTCAATTTCTCTTGTGTTTTTCTACTTAAATCTGTCTGACATTATTTTTTTTCGTTGTGCTTTAAGTGTGTACCTGGAAGCAGGTGGAATGGATATTCATGATGCAGTTTAAATGCCTTTCAAAAAAAATGTTCCAACTGCCTATTTCACAAATATTTTAGAAATTCCTGCCATTACATTTGAAAGCATTTTTAATAAATCCACTTTTCCCTTAAAAGGTGTTTTACCTGTGGAAGGTATATAGTCTCCCATTTCTATAACTGATTTGGTAAAGTGACCTTGTTCAAAGTTGGACCATGCCAGATTTCTTTAAGATCCACTTGGGTGTTTTAGGCCCTGTCGTTAAGGTTGTCTTCTTAGTTCTTTATTAGAATAAAACTGTTAGCTCTACCTACAACTATTTCCAACAATACTGTTCTTGAAGAAAAAAATTACTCTGTCTTCATTATTACACACACAACAGTTGTTATGCATGTGTATCTCTGTACACATATTTTCATTTTCACTCTTTCCCCATAGGAACAGAATTGAAGAACTCCTAGAGTTGAACTCTGGTTACCAAGTTTCTGGTACCAGAGTTCAGCCTTTTTCCTTTAGTGTCTTTGCATTTAATTTTAAAATTTATAAACACAAAGTATCTTTTCATTATTTTTACAAACAGTGGAAGGAATCTGGACTAGTTCTTTTCAGTGGTTAATGTTTTGAACAGTTTAGACCCATAACCTATGAATTTCTAATAAAACTCTCTCCTAATGCAATGTTTGCAGTTATCAATTTAAGTCTTGTTTTTTCTCATCTGCATTTATTTAGGCTGTGGCTTCAAGTTGTTGGTCAGTGCTGAAACAGAAAAGGCAACAGATGAAGGTAAACTTCATTTTGCCTTGGACTACTTTGTTGAGTGATTTGAGGCTCCTGTCAAACAGCTGAGTCAGTCCTCAAGTGGGGATGGCAGCTCATAAGGACTGTCACTCAAGCCTGATGAGTGACTTATTGGTACTGGGTTGGCTTGTCCTGTTTTGAATTCCTTCTCCCTCTTGAGGCATGCATGGGATTTCTGCTATGTGGGAAAGAGTTTAGAGTTAGAAATGGCTCAGATAGAATTTTTTAAATAATTCTGAGGGCCATATATTTGAATAATTTTTGTTTAAAATGATTCCAGAGACCCCGTGTTTTGAACAAGCTTTCCAAATGATGATTATAAACTCAGATGTTTGAGACTGGTTTGGGGTTAGGGAGCAGACTAGTAGACGCAGGCTTAATTTTCTCACTAGCTGTTATGACTTCAATCAAGTTCCTGACTCCGCTGAACTCCACTTCTCCCTTTTGCAGAATGGAGTTGGTGCCTGCCTCATGGGGTGGCTGTAAGGGTGAAATGAGAAAATATCTACCAGCTTCATTTAAACATAAAACTTAAAGCATAAATACAGAAACGAGTTTAATAAGTGCTAGTTACCATAATAATCATGACAATAATGTATCTAGCTTTATCTGTTCTTAGCATAAATCTTGTGCCTTAGATTTGTCTTCTGCCTTACCCACAGATACCTATTTATCTCACCTCTTGGGGAACTATTTTCTGTAACTGGAATGCCATGCTCTATCCTCTGTACTTAATACATCATACCTTTTGTTGAGTTCAGCTCACATTATTACTTGGCAAAGCGTGTTCTCGTACTTCAGCTCATGCTAATGTCCTACCTGTCTGAACTCCTACTATAGTCTGTGGGATTTAGAATTTTAATATATGCAGAACCTCTCAGACTAAATGATAACTTCAGTGCATCCCTCATAACTTTATGGCCTTCATTGGTTAGCTGTGTGTGATTCAGGACAGGTTATTTAACTCCTCCAAAGTATCACTTTCTACATGATTAAAATGATGTTAACATGACCTACTTTTTCAGGAACTTTTTATCAGGTTAAATAGAGCATATTATCTGGAATATAATGGTAAATTGCTGTTACAATATCTGTATTCTTTAAATTGATGTTTAGAAGATGATTTGGAGCCTATAAAATAGAAAATAACCCCTCCAAGAGACAGAATCTTAAAACATAGTTATCCCCAGTTGATGCTATATGACAAATCCCACAGGATGTTTTATAGCAAGAGAATTTCAGAAGGCTATTAATAAACTTGGAGAGGTTCCTAAGTTACAACTGTATATGTTACTATTGCACAAGAAGAGGCCATTACACAATTAAATGCCTTGATAATATCTGGTTCCTCAACTGAAAGGATTCTAATAAGCATTTTTTTGTGCTTAATCATTTAAAAATCATTTTGGTCTTTTTCAGATAATCTAATTAAGTGATTGTGTAAAGCTGTTTAATAGCTGAAACCCTGGTCATCTCATTCATCCTGAAAATTACAGTGCTAAGGAACGCAATAGCATTCTTGTTATTGCTTGGTTACAACACTTATATGATTGCTTTTTTATGAAGTATTTTTATGAGGTGAAAATGCCTTCAAGAAATAATGTTCCTCAGCATATTTGAAACTGTTTGCTAGAATATGAAAATTACATAAAACATCCTGTGACTGTAAAAGTTACTTGTAAGCTTATTCACATCCTTGGTAGACTGGCTCACCATTAACCCTTGGTCTGCCCTCAAAAAAAGAGCCGGTCATATGATGGGCAGCAATTAGAGTTTCTCTACTAGAGATAGCTAATTCAAGAAGGTAAAAATAACTTGATTCTCATTTACTTCCCAACAGATCCCAGATGGCTTTTTTGCCCATTTCTATGCCATTTGTGAGCAAATCAGCCCTGTCCTAGCCTGGGGCTTTTTGGGTCCTAGAAATTCTCTCTATGATTTATGTTGCTTCTTTAAGGTACGTTCAGCCATTGAATCATTTCTTTTCTCTAAATCAAAACGCAGATAAGTTTTATTGTTTTGCTTTTGCTTGTGTAGAAAAAAAGAGTATCAGTGAAAGGTAAGGTTATAAAAATCACCTGAATTCAGTTTTTAAATGCCAGTGGAACATTATTATATAGATTTGGTGCTATATCCTGGAGTAAATATCATAAGTCCCGTCACTATCAATTCAACTCCGTCTATAATGGAGACACGTGTTTGGATGGTGTTAGTACCATGTTACAGTCAAGTTGCTGCAGACAGTTGTTCTTCATGCCTGGACCCTTTTGAAATTTATAAAACAAATATCTGTCTTTATTGCACATGTAGGCAATTTAGAGCTACATTCTGGTTCAAGGTTAACATGAATGATAAAATCTCGGGTGTGAGAAATAACATGCAAGTTTAAGGTTGTATTACAGAATACAAGTTCTAGTACGCTGCAGAATTTTCTGCCTGGCACAGTGCCAAGAAAAGTCCCACTATTTTTAAGTTTATTTATTTATTTTGAGAGATATAAATGTAAGAGAGAGAACACAAGCATGGGAGGGGCAAAGAGAGAGAGAATCAATCCCAGGCAGGCTCTGCACTGTCAGCATAGAGCCCAATTTGGTGCTTTATCCCATGAACCATGAGGTCATGACCTGAGCCGAAATCAAGAGTCAGACCCTCAACCGACTGAGCCCCCCAGGCACCCCAAGCCTCACTATTTAATAGTCTTGAATTTAGGCTGTTTCAAGGAGCAAATAAAAGTAAACATAATCAAGTATGAATCTGAAAGTTTTTGATGTTTGTAAGTTTGGATGTTTCACTATAGTGCTGATTTAAAAAGTTAAATTATTGGGATGCCTGAGTGGATCATTTGGTTAAGCATCTGACTTTGGTTCAGATCATGATCTCACGTTTCATGAGTCTGAGTCCTGCTTTGGGTTCTTTGCTGACAGCTTGGAGCCTGCTTTGGATTCTATGTCTCCCTCTCTCTGCCCCTCTCTGGCTTGCACTCTGTCTCTCAGAAATAAATAATAATAAAACATTTTAAAAAAAGAGAAAGAACTTTTATAAAAAATAAAAAATAAAAAGTTGAATTATGTTTATGTGCTGTTAATATAGCATTTATGGTAATGTTTAAGAAATATTTATTTTACTGTCATTCAAAACTGATCAGTTTTTGAATGGTTTTCTTGAACTCCCAAATGGAAGGTATGTGTTTGTGGGGAAAATTTGGACTGAGAATTAAGTTTGTCATTAATGAACAGTCTGAATCTGGGCAAATCATGCTCTTGTCTTCTTTTTCTTCATCTCTAAGATGAGGGGGCTTGATAGGCTGATTGCTAACAACTCGTCCAGGTATAAAGTTAAGCAAATCTATGATGTGTGCCTTCTTAGTACTTCTTAACATTTGATTTCTGTAGGATAGAAAGTAAGTATTTCTGTTTTTTGTTCTTTGGAATTACTTTTTTCCTCTCATCATAACAGGCTGAGACTTACTAGTTAGTAGTATACAACTTGCCTAAAATGAGTTTCAGAAAAAAAGAATGAGGGGCGCCTGGGTGGCTCAGTCGGTTAAGCGTCTGACTTCGGCTCAGGTCATGATCTCACGGTTCGTGGGTTCGAGACCCACATCGGGCTCTGTGCTGACAGCTAGCTCAGAGTCTGGAGCCTGCTTCACATTCTGTATCTCCCTCTCTCTCTGACCCTCCCCTGCTCATGCTGTCTGTGTGTGTGTCTCTCTCTCTCTCTCTCTCAGAAATAATTAAAAACATTTTAAAAAATGAGAGTTTTGCCATTTTGAACAATATGGATGGACCTAAAGGATATTATGCTAAGTGAAATAAGTCAGCCAGGGAAAGACAAATGCCATATCATTTCACTTATATGTGGAAACCAGAAAACAAAGCAAATGAACAAACAAAAGAAAAAAAAAAAACAAATAGAATCGTAAATACAGAGGGGCACTTGGCTGGCTCAGTTGGTAAAGCATACAACTCTTGATGTCGGGTCTGTGAGTTTTAGCCCCCCATTGGGTGTAGGCATTACTTAAAAAAGAAATCTTAAGTAAATAAATACAGAGAACAAACTGGCGGTTGCCAGAAAGGAAGGGATTGAGAGGGTGGGCAAAATAGATGAAGGGGATTAAGAGGTAGAAACTTCCAGTTATAAAATAAATAAGTCACAGGGATGAAAAACACAACATAGGGAATATAGTCAGTAATGTTGTGATAACATCGCATGGTGACAGGTGGTAACTACACTTACGGTGGTGAACGCTGAGTAATGTCAGCGTTGAACTTGCACTGTGTTGTACACCTGAAACTAATACAACACTGTATATCAACTATACGTCAGTTTTTTAAAATGGGTTTCATCAGAAGTGTTAACTTACTGAAATGAAATATCATTCATTATCTTCCACTGATTTGAAATCTGAAATTTGTATTTTTCATGTATCTTACTTTATTTAGGTACAGAAAAATATACACTTAAAACTTAAAAATGGGGCACCTGAGTGGCTCAGTCAGTTAAGCGTTGACTCTTGGTTTCGGCTTAAGTCATGTTTTCACAGTTTGCGAGTTCAAACCCTGCATCGAGCTCCATGCTCTCAGTGCAGGATTCTCTGCTTCTCCCCCACCCCTCTCTCTCAAAAATAAATAATTTAATTAATTAAAAGAACCAAAAGTTACAATTATGGGAAATAGTTTACTCTTCTATCTTATACTAGTACCAGTGTTCAGAAGTAACAGTGAAAGGGTCAGTTAATGAGAAATTAATAATAGCTTCTTAAATTTATATAGTGCTTTCAGGGTTTACAGGCATTCCCAATAGATTATTTCTTTTTCATCATCATGTGAGCTCTGAAAGGTACAAAGGACTAGTATTATCCCGTATTTTACAGAAAAATAAAATGAGATCCAAGAAAGGTGTAAGCGCTTGTTCAAGGTCCCTTTTCCAATGGTTATGGCACTAGCACTGGGAGTCTGGCCTTCTGACTCCTAATTCAATGCTTGTTACACTATTAGTAGCTATTTAGATAAACAAAATTGTGGTCTGTTAAGGGCCAATTTGTTTTGTGTTCATTTTCCAGAATCAAGTTCTTTTCTTTCTCAAAGACATTTTCGACTTCGAGAAGGTGCGCTATTCCAGCATAGAGACTTTGGCCGAAGACCTCATGCAGTTACTTATTCGCCGCACTGAACTCTTAATGGCCTACCTTGGAGCTGATGCACTGAGGCATACAAGTAGTTGTATAAGTAGTCATGGTCATGTTATGTCCAGTGGCCTGTTGGAAGCCAAAGTACAATAGGTACCATAAAAACCATACATCTTGAGTGTGCTATGAAATATTTAAGGTAACTATTGATTTTGTAACACACATTACAAGGAATTGGGGATATGGACTCAGGGAGGGAAAAAAAAATCCAGTAAAGAACAAGTGATCCTACTATATTTACACAGAAGTTCTGTCATTGAATCCCTGTGTACTGTATCCAAAGTGACATTTTCTAGTCTTTAGGTAATAATTTAAGTGTGGTGAAATGTTGTATATTTTACAGAAATATTGCTTGAATTGAAACCAGTTACTTGGGAGTTAATATGTCGTCTTGAAGTTGTCTGCAGTGTCCAGTATCATTCTCCAAAGCGCTGTTTTTATGCTTTGCACCTAGAATATATACACTTTAGCCAAGACCGTTGTGGCCCACACATGTAAGAATATATGACTCCTTGTTTCAACAAGTTTAACTTTGCCTGAAAATGTATTTTTCATTGTAAAGTTATTCATTGTTTAATCAAGTTTGGGCAATAGTGATGTTTAATATGTACTGCTTATATTATTGCTTGTGCATTCGCTTATGTTTGAATCAAAAAAATTGTAATGGCTATCTTATAAAACATTTAAATGAATTGACACTGAAAGCTTACAAGTTTTTATTAGATTTATTGCAGTTTCCAAAATATATTATTTTGGTCCTATAAGTTAGAATAGAGACTGAAGAAATTTCTTTTATCTTTTTATAGATTAGAGCATTTTCCCTTGAATGAATATTGATTAAAAAGATAACATTTATTAACTGTGAGAGGTAATTAAGATTTTTTGTTTGTGTAGTTTTGAGACTGTCTCCCAATAAATATCTCAAGGTTTTAATCTGGATACAGTAAAATAATTTTCCTTTCTCCTTTTATAGAACTTAGCACACTGGGGGTTTGTCATATTATGCCCCTATTTTTAAAATATTCATACTTTGACTCTTAGTGAAGTTTTAAAGGTTTTTTTTTTTTCCCCTGAAGATAGAACAAAATATTTTTTAGTGTTATGGAAGTATATTTCATGTCCTTTATGATAAATAAATGAATGAACAAATGGCTTGTTCATATGAGGGGTTCTTCAGGGTATATTAGATACATTCAGAACTGTATTAATTTTGTGTCTAAACCATATATACCACTTATTTAAAGTGACTCACTCAGCAAATCAATGGATTGGATTCATTGGTTATGCTCCTAAGGTGGGTTTTATTTATTTTAGGAGTGAGTTACCCAGAAAGATCTGAAGTATATTTTTTAAAAACGAATTTTTAAAGTGCCTAGTTTCTGATTAATGAATAGAAAATGAAAAGCAAGGGGAAAAAGCATAATCTTTTAAGGTTTTAAATTTACATATGTGCCATATATATGTAATATTGATTACAAAATTTGAGTTTCAGAATCTTTATGCTGTTTTCATGTTACTGTGTTCCATAATATGGGTTACAGCATTAAACAGTATGAAATATTGCTCTGATATTTAGCTCCTGACCTTCCTTATGTATATTATTAATTTAACAATTGGCTATTCGTAACTCTTATTATTGATGGAGGAATATCATTGGAAGTATCAAAGCTAAAAGTTCCATTATATGTTGTTTTATTTTTTAACTCATCTCTTGTATTTTTAGCTTCTTGTTGAGGTACCCCTGACCTTGAATGAGTCACACACATGTGTATATACACACACACATTCCCATCATTGTGTAGACAGGACAGTTATTGCTTATATTAATCTTCCTGTTTGCGGGGGGAGGCTAAATGTTTTAAGCTGTGGTTTTACAAACAAAGATAGAAGTAAACTTAATTACTTTTTTATTTGAGGAAGATATTATTTGAAATCTATTTTGAAGAATTGCACTATTTAATAATGCTGCTATTACATAATATAACTCTGGGGAATTTATTTCATCAGATAAGATGAATGGCTTTCCAGAAGGTGTTTTTTCTTCTCTTTTACATTTCACCTTAAGAAAAAAAGCCACCCATATTCAAGAGGTTGGTTTGTCAAAATCAGTGAGTTTGATTAGTTTCTAGGCGGTTGTGTAGCTACTACTTTAGCAAAAATGCTTTCTTTGTGGCCTTTGACAAAAGAGACAAGAGTGACCAAATACAACTTCAGGGTGATAAGTATGGGAAAAACCTCTCTATTGTAAGGGAAGAAACTTGAATTAGTTAAACATCTCTCAAAAACGGTTCATACACGAAACATATGTACCAATTCCAGTTTGCCTTGAAATTAGGTTAAACAGTTAAAGCAGTGTTGTAATAATAAAAAAGGATTAAACTAAGTCTGGAGCCTTTTAGGAAGGAACCCTGTTTGACACTTAACATGACCATTGTGAGTCCTACTAACATCCACTGCCCTGTGTACATGATAAGAGGGTGTTAAAATCATCCTGAGAAAATGGCTTTTTCTCCTGTTTTCTGGAAGAAAAAAGATCAGTGTTCAGGTGATTCATATTTGCTAACTTTTTTTTTCTATTTTTGTTTCTCTATGTTTTTGTTCAAAAGGCTAGTTATTCTCGAAGGCTTACGTTTATTAAATATCAAATTGAGGTTACTTTTTTAAAATAAAGAAGCCAAGTTTGTCATGCTGTTCTAGTCAGCTCCAAAAACCTTTCTCTCAGAAAAAAAGTACTGTTTATTTGCATCCATTTATTTTGATTCTGTTGTTAAATTATCTGACTTTATAAAAAAAAATATAAACTTTCTCTTGCCTTAAGATGTAACATGTTCACACCTGAAACTATTGCAACATTGTGTCTCAACTATGTTTCAATTTTTAAAAAGGTCACATTTTCTACTTAAATGATTACCTAAAGAGTGGTTATTTACATCACAAAAGAATTAGTTTATTATCCCTTTAAGCCTACGAAATAGGAATGCCAAAGTAACATTTAATATACTTCTCTGTGACCTTTCATAATCAAATTTTAAATTATGTTCGTGACATAATTTGGTTTTATTTTAATTAATATGAACACATAGGAAATTATTTGGAGTATATATTTCAAAGTGATTATAAGAATGAGGCTGAATTCAAATCTTTTGTTTTTTGCTTGGATTAATCATATTTAGAAATTTCTCTAAGTGAGACTCAAGGATTTGTATAATCTATGATTAATGGAAATAAGGGCATTCTTTCTTTGTTCCTAATGATTGTTATGTTATCATTTTGCTTAGTTTGAGAACAATCATGTATTATCTTTACTTGGCTGATATTAGTAAATGTGTCTATTTCCTAAATGTAAGGACTGTACTTACTAATTTATGTAAAAGTGAAGCTCTACAGTAGCAGAAAAAAAAAATAGCACTGGCTCTTTAGCCAAAATAAAACTCTGTAACATGGATGTATCTCTACTACTGCCAAATAAAGAATTGATGGTACATCTTACTGATGTATTGACTATTTTATACAATGCTTACATACATATGCAAGATCACACCTGTCTCATCAGACCCTGACATATAGGAACTTTCGGTCTCCGTAAGACCACACATCTACAGGCACAGAGAAGAGACACTGCAGAACTGTTGGAACCAGGCACCAAAGCAGATGTTTTCTTTATGGACTAAGTGGGAGAAAAGACAGTTTTATGAGGAGTAAAGCCAAAGTACTTGTGTTGGGGATATTTGTTTGTTTGTGTTTGAGAGAGAGCATGTGTGCAAGTGGAGGAGGGGCAGAGACCGAGAGAGAGAGAGAGAGAGAGAGAGAGAGAGAGAGAATCTTAAGCAGGCCACACGGCCAGCAAGAGTCCAATATGGGATCATGACCTGAACGGAAATCAGGAATTGGGTGCTTAACTTACTGAGCCACCCAGGTGCCCCAAGAGTACTTGTGTTTTAATTGATGAAGTGTTTTGATTGACACAATATAAATGTGTCAGACACAATATAAATGTATTTGATTGATGGTCGTGCATCCGTCTCTATTCAGACATCCTGTTTCCCACCACTTCCTTGTCAGAGTTCAGACACAGTCAGTCAAGGAGAAGGGGGTGCTGCCTGGACACTGCCGGAAGCACCAGGGGAAAGAACGGTTTGTCTGGAGGTAAATACAGCAGTCGCCATGCGAGTACGAGGTCACTGTCTTCCCAGTACAGAAATGGGGTGGGAGATGGACAGGGATCTGGAGCAACGTCTCCATCTCCTCTTCTGTTTTCTTTGTCACCTGCCACCCTCCTTGCTCTCCCATGCCATCCTCCATCCCACTGCCTGAACTTAATGTTTTGTATTTTAAACGTCTCTGAATTTGGGGGCTCCTGGTTGGCTCAGTTGGAAGGGCTTGAGACTCTCGATCTCGGGGCCGTGAGTTCGAGCCCCACACTGGGGGTAGCGATTATGTAAGTAAATTAATAAAAATAAAAATTTTAAACATCTCTGAAATTTTAAGTATGTTTAGAATATGTCTGTATAAGCATCTCAGTGTCTTGTTACATTATTTGCAGGGCTTTGCTGGAAATGTTTATTAACTCATTTAGTTTACCCACCATCGTCCTTACTGCTCTTATGCCTCTTTTGACTTTTATTACAAAGTATTTCTTTTTTTACCCTGTATTCTGTAATACTTTATCCTGCCCTGTCTTCTCCTTTAATCTCTCCCTCTCATGCTGCTGACATCTTTGATCAACTCCACAGCTCTCTTGTCTGCTGAGGTGTTGTGTTTTTTTTCTCCCTACCTCTGAACAGTGAAAACCTTTAAGTAACCTTCATCATTTGGGCAGGGAAGGACTGAATTCCAGTATAGAAGAAAAAAGCAAACCTTCCTTTGACACTTTATTCTTTGCTTAAAAGCCACAGCAAAGCAACTGGTACATCAAATATCACCTCAACATTTTGCTTTTAACTGTCTCTTATGTATGTCACAAAAGCCTTTCACAAAGTACATTTATATATAGGAGATTACAGAACTTTTATGATTTGCTGTGTTTGAAATAATACCGTAATACTTGTCTATAGAAAAGCACTTTGACATTTGCAAGCACTTGAAATACAGGACTTTCAGAACTTTGTTGTTTGTTTGTTTAACAACACTGTGAGAAAATAGGACCACAGACTTTAAAAAGGACTGGGTCCTTAATGTGGCTAGGAGATGGCTAATTTAAAAAAGTGGGGGGGGGGGGCGCCTGAGTGACTAGTTGAGCGTCTAACTCTTGATTTTATCTCAGGTCATGATCCCAAGGTCATGGGATCAGGCCCTGCATTGAGCTCCACACGGAGCGTGGAGCCTGCTTAAAATTTCTGCTTCTGCCCCTCTTCCCCACTTGTGCATGAGCTCCTCTCTCTCTGTCTCTGTTTCTTTTTTTTTTTTAATGTTTGTTTATTCCTGAGAGAGAGAAAAACAGTTGAGCAGGGGAGGGGCAGAGCAAGACACAGAGTCTGAAGCAGGCTCCAGGCCATGAGCTATCAGCACAGAGCCCAACATGGGGCTCGAACTCAAGAGATGAGTCATGACCTGAGCTGAAGTCAGACGCTTAACCAACTAAGCCATCCAGGCACCCCTCTCTGTCTCTTTAAAAAAAAAAAAAAAAGTAGGTTGGGGGTCCCTGGGTTGCTCAGTCGGTCAGGTCATGCTCTCACGGCTCATGGGTTCAAGCCTGGCATCAGGCTCTATGCTGACAGTTCAGAACCTGGAGCCTGCTTCGGATTCTGTGTCTGCCTCTCTCTCTGCCCCTCCCCAGCTCACGCTCTCTTTCTCTCCTTCAAAAATAAACAAGCAAACAAACAAAAAAGTAGGTTAGAGGAGCCTGGGTGGCTCAGTTGGGGAAGCATATGACTTATGGTTTCAGCTCAGGTCACCATCTCACATTTTGTGAGTTCGAGCCCCACATGGTTCTCTGAGCTGACAGTGCAGAACCTGTTTGGGATTCTCTCTCTGCCCCTCCCCCACGCTCTGTCTCTCAAAATAAACTTTAAAAAAAAGTAGGTTAAAGCAGGTGTGTTTGTTATCTACTGCTGCATAACAAATCATCCCCAAATTTAGCAGCTTGAAACAATAAACGTTATCTCACAGTTTCTGAGGGTTGGAATCCAGGAATGGCTGTTTCTGGTGTTTCTGGCTTATAGTGTCTCCTGAGATTGCAGCCATTTGAAGGTTTGAGCAGGATTTGCTTTCAACATTTGCTTACTCACGTGGCTGTGGTTAAAGGAGTGTTAGGTCCTTGCCATGTGGGCCTCTTAGCTGCATGAGTGTCTTTAAAACCGTTGCATCTTCCAGAGTGAGCAATCCAAGAGATATCAAGGCCAAAGACACAGTATCTTTTATAACCTAGGCTGGGAAGTGGCACACTTGTGCCATGTTCTATTAATCATGCATACCAATCCTGACACAATATGGGAGGAGATTACACAAGGGTGTAAATATTAAAAGGCCAGGTCATCTGAGTGGCTGGATACCACCACAGGGAGCCATAATACATTACATATAGTTAAGGTAGATTATTTTAAATGAATAAATATGTATTCTTTGGGCAATAATTTGATGTGGGGTCAAGGCCTTCAGTAGGAGTGTGGATCCATTTGGTATTCTGAGATATCTTTGTTGTATAGACTATATATCTAAATCATCATCTGAGATTTCCAGTTTCCCTTACTTTTGAAGGAGAAAACATTTACGTGGAAAGCAATGAATGCCAAATCCCCCTCATTTTCATAATTTTGTAGCCACTTTTATACATTTCTCTTCCCCACATCTAGCTTGATGGTAATTTTTACAATTTATTTGCCTTTTTCAAGTCTTCAAAGCTTTCACCCTAGCTTTTGTAAAAACTGTAACTTATTTTGCTTTTATATTTCTTCCTTTTTGTAATGGTTATGTCATTTCAGTAATGTGCAACCGATATAATCAAGTTTGAGAATAAACCCAAGTGATTCATGATCGGTATATGAGGAATGTTTATTAAAAAATGGCAAATCTTAGATTTCACGTAGTCTTTTTTTTATTATTATTTAATTTACGTATTTATTTTGCAAGAGAGAGAGTGTGCGAGTGGGGAAAGGGCAAATAAAGAGGATCCCAAGCAGGCTCCAGGCTGTCGGTGCAGAGCCCAATGAGGGGCTCAATCTCATGAACCGTGTGATCATGACCTGAGCCAAAATCCAGAGTTGGACATGTAACAAACTGAACCTCCCGGACACCCATCAAATAGTCTTAAATGTAGCATGTCCAAAACTGAGCTCCTGACTACACCGGCCTAAACCTCCTCCTGTCCGCAATTGACAACTCGCAACTCCATTCTTCCAGATCCTCAGGCCAAAAACTTTGTCCTCACACCTCATGTTGCATCTTCCACCAAAATCTACTAGTTCTACTCTTTAAAATGTACCAAGAAAAAAACATGCCAAGCGCTTCTCACTATCTTCGCAGGTATCAGCATGGTCCAAACTCCCACTCCCTGTCGTCTGGTTATTTTGGAAGCCTTGTAATTGGTCTTCCTGTTTCATTTAGTGTATTTTTGTTTTTTGGGTTTTTTTAACATTTATTTTTGAGAGGGAGACAGAGTGTGAGCACGGGAGGGGCAGAGAAAGAGGGAGACACAGAATGTGAAGCAAGCTCCAGGCTCTGAGCTGTCAGCACAGAGCCCAACGTGGGGCTTGAACCCATGAACCGCGAGACCATGACCTGAGCTGAAGTCGGACGCTTAACCACCTGAGCCACCCAGGCGCCCCTCATTTAGTGTATCTGTAGCACATCAGTCAGAGTGAACATGCTAAAATTTGTCATATTGTGTCACTACTTTATTCAGAATCCACCGCAGACACCCATCTTAAAGGCCAAAGTCCTTACAATGTTAGACAAAAGGGTTCTCCACCGTCTGTGTCCTGCCCCTGTCCACTTCCTCTTTTCACCCTGTGTCTACCCAGCTTCACCCACGCAAGTCTCCTTGCTCTTCCTACAACATGTCAGGATCTTTCTCAGGTTTTCTCTCTCTCTTGGACCCCTTTTGTACAATATTTGGGGCACCCGGGTGGCTCAGTTGATTGAACAACCAACTCTTGATTTAAGCTCGTCATGATCTCATGGTTTGTGAGATTGAGCCTCACAAGGCGCTCTGTGCTGACAGTGTAGAGCTTGTTTGGGATTCTCTCTCTCCCATGTCCCCCCCCCCACCCACCCACACACACACACACTCTTTCTCTGAAAATAAATGAAATTAAAAATAAGAGGGGTAAGCTATTCTTTCCTCAATTAAAGAAATGTTCTAGATTGGTAATTAAAACAGCTATTTAAACTTAATCTAATCTAGACAGGTGGCCTAGATGGTCCAGCTCGCCCCCTCGACTACTGTTACCTCGACCTTCTTTAGTTCATGGAACTGTCCGTGATCATTCTGGCTGCAGGGCCTTTGCACAAGCTGATCTCTCTGCATGATATGCTCTTTCCCCCACTCCCCACCTACTAACTTCAACATATGCTCTTGCTGTCTACTTAAATGCTGCTTTCTCAGAGAAGCCTTCCTTTCACTCCCAATCTGTGTCAGTGTCCCCTATTATGAACTCTCATTCCACCCCTTTTCTGTTTAAACTTTCCAACTTAAGAGTTTACATTTATTTTTATGATTTAAAGAAGTGAGTAGAAGCTCTCTCAACTGAGAATCCACTTAGTGGGTTCACCCCATTAAACAAAGTGCTTCATTCTTCCTACAAAGCTCTAATATAGGGGGACACCTGGGTGGCTCAGTCAGTTAAGCATCCAACTCTTGGTTTCAGCTCAGGTCATGATCTCATGGTTCATGGGTTTGAGCCCCGAGTTGGGATCTGTGCTGGCAGCACAGAGCCTGCATGGAATATTCTCTCTCTCTCTCTCTCTCTGTCTCTCTCTCTCTGTCTCTCTCTCCCTCTCTCTCCCCCCCTCTCTCTCCCTCCCTCTTTCTCTCTCTCTCTCTCTCCCTCTCTCTCTCCTGCTTGTGCTGTCTCTGTCTCTCTCAAAATAAATAAACTAAAAAGTCCCTCTAATTGGTACCCACATCATGCAAGGCCTTCTTCTGCCTTCACCAATTCATTATTCATTTTTTCGTTCAACAAATATGCAGTTCTAGATATTTAGGATATAGCAGTTGAAAAGGTAAATTACAAGTCCTCCCATTATGGAGCAGACACTCTAGTGGAAGAAGGCAGACAATGAGCAAACCATGTACTTAGTGATCTGCAATACAGATAAAACCAGAGCAGGAAAGTAGGGAATGCTATGAGGTGAGTGGATATCGTAGTTTTATTTTGTTTTCGTTGTTTTAGAGACAGTACCCACAGGTGCACGTGAGCAGGGGAGGGGAAAGGCAAAGGGAGAGAAAATCTTAAGCAGGCTCTGTGCTGCCTCAGCTTACACATTTTATTTTTTTAATGTTTATTTTTGAGAGAGAGTGCATGTGTGCAAGCAGAGGAAGGGCAGAGATGGGGGGAACCCATGATCCAAAGGAGGCTCCATAGTGACAGCAGAGAGCCAGATGTGAGACTCCAACTCACCAACTGTGAGATCATGATCTAAGCCGAAATTCACTGCTTAACCGACTGAGCCACCCAGGCACCCTCCACCAGCTTACACCTTTTAAAAGAATTCCAGGGCACCTGGGTGGCTCAGTCAGTTAAGTGTCCGACTTTAGCTCAGGTCATGATCTCACAGTTCATGGGTTCAAGCCCCGCACTGGCTCTCTGCTGACAGCTCAGAGCCTGGAGCCTGTTTCAGATTCTATGTCTCCCTCTCTCTCTGCCCCTCCTCTGCTCATGGGCTCGCTCGCTCTCTCTCTCTCTCAGAAATAAATTTTTTTTAAAAAATTTCCATCCTGGCACACCTGAGCGGCTCAGTTAAGTGTTTGACTCTTGGTTTTGGCTCAGGTATGATCTCACAGTTCATAAGTTTGAGCCTCGCCTCAGGTTCTGGACTGACAGTGTGGATCCTGCTTGGGATTCTCTCTCTCTCTGCCCCTTCCTTCCCCCCACCCCCACCCCCAACTCTGTAGCATGAGCACTCTCTCTCTCACTCAAATAAATAAACTTAAAAAATAAATTTCCTGGGGCACCAGGGTGGCTCAGTCAAGTGTCTGACTTCGGCTCAGGTCATGATCTCATGGTTCGTGGGTTCGAGCCCCGCATCGGGCTCCGTGCTGACTGCCAGCTCGGAGCCTGGAGCCTGTTTCAGATTCTGTGTCTCCCTCTCTCTCTGATCCTTCCCTGCTCACGCTGTCTCTCTCTCTCTCTCAGAAATAAGTAAAACACTAAAAAATTTTTTTTAAAAATTTCCATCTTGAGTGGATGGTGATGGGGTGGAGATAAAAAGCTACAGCTGGGAGTAGAGAGCCTTTTCCATATCCCTGAAAATATAACCTGAGCACCACCGTCCAGAGCTGCAAGTTGGAAGTGCTTGTCCCTGCTGTATCTCTGCGGATGCTACCACAATACAATTTTTATATTTTTCTCTTTTTTTGTTTGTTCTCTCTCTTCTATCTTTTATTATTTGTTTTCTGCATGCAGTGAAAAACTGAAGATCTCCCATACCAGAAAAACCTCTTTAAGGGTTATCTGATGGGTTTAACCGACAGGCTGGTGGTCGGGTTGAAAAGGCCTGTGGGTGCTAATATCCGCAGGTGACTTTAGTTTAAAAAGACCGGAGATGATTTGCCTTTAACTAGGGAAAGGAGGTAGATTATATAAGTAGTATTCGCGACTAGGTGGTGGTGGTGGTGGGGTTTTTTTAAACCTCTTTTTTTTTTTTTTAATTTATTTCTAGGAGAGAGAGAGAGAGACAGCGTGGGCAGGGGAGGGTCAGAGAGAGAGGGAGTCACAGACTGAAACAGGCTCCAGGCTCTGAGCTGACAGTTAGCACAGAGCCCGACGCGGGGCTCGAACCCATGAACCGCGAGATCATGACCTGAGCGAAAGTCGGACGCCTAACCGACTAAGCCACCCAGGCGCCCCAAACCTCTTTTTCTCCCTCCCCCTTCTCCTTCCACTTTTCTCTTTCACCACTCTCGGTGGAGTTGAAGACGAAGGCCAAGAAAGAGGGAACCACAGCCGGGTGAAGTGGTCCCGGGACTGCCCTATAGTCTCAGCAACAAAAGAAAATTTGGTCAAAGGTCATGCTGTGGACGAAGACGAGGTGGTGGCTCGGCGGCGTCTCGGTTAGAAACCAGGACTGAAGAGTCGCTGAGAGCAGTGGGCCCCCGGGCAACCCGGCTGTGGGCAGCGGGGAGCCAGCTGCAGCCTGGCTGTGAATCCCATTCCAGCACCACCCCTCACCCACCGGGGAGGCCGTCCGCGGACCCCGCCAGGAGGTGGAGGGCAGAACCCCCGGGAGACCACCGGCGACCCAGAGTCGGGCGGCCCGCAGGGTCTGGCGGAAAGTTGGCGGCCACCGCCCCTCTCCCGTCTCCCTCCTCGACACTCCACTTCCCCCCCCCCCCACCCCGGGCGCTACGGCGGAGGTGGGGGTTGGGGGAGCTGGCCTGGTGTTCTGGAACAGCTGCAGCCGGCGCTGGGCCCGCCTGGAATGCGGGAACAGGCTGCGCACCAGGACTTTTATGGAAACTTGCTGCTGGAGACGGCGGCGGCGGCGGCGGCGGCGGCGGCGGCCAGAGGGCTCCCAGCGGCCGGAGCGGCAGCGGCGGCGGCCCGAGCGCGCAGACCCCCGCCCACACCCCGGCGCCGCACGCGCACAGCCTCTCCGCGCGCGAGGAGGACGCTCGCCGGCCGTCGGCTCCGGGCGGGTGAGAGCGGTCGAGGGACGCGGGGCGGGGGCGCCGGACACGCGGGTGGCGGGTGCCCCGCGGGGGCGGGGGCTGCGGGAGGGCGCGCCCCGCCGCCGGCCGCCGGGCAGGGCTGCGCCGCAGCCCCTGGAGCGCGCGGGGCTGCAGCCCGCGGTGGCCGCGCGCCCGGCCCGGCGCGAGGGAGCCGCGCGCCCTGCGGACTCGGCGGGGTGCCGGCCCGGGTCTGCGCCTCGGGCCGCGCCAGCCGGCCTTTGGCTCTGGCGGCGGTTTCCTCGCCCGGCTCCCCTGCTCCCAGCGCCGCCCGTGCCCTGTCGGCACGAAACTCGGGTGCTCGGGTGCCTTCCCTGCCCCTGCCGGGAAGAGCCCTCCGCTGGCGCAGCGGGTGCCAGTCCCTTCGCTCTACCCGTGGGGTCCAGGCCGCCTCAAAGTTCAGTGTCGTCCCCCACCCACCACGTGCCCCTGGCGCGGTCTCCGTCGCCGCCAGCGATGCCTGCTGTTTTTAAGAGAAATCGTTTCTGCTCTGTCCGTGCGGAGGTCGGGGAGTAATCTGTGATTTAACAGCCCATCATCTACCCCCTCCCTCCAAAGTGTTTTTTGGAGGCTATTTTGTCCGAGGTGGGATGTTGGGGTTGCGCAACTACAGTTGGAAGTTGGCATGCATACTGTGGTCACCTCTTTGGACCTCCCTTGTCCCTCTCTTTTTTGAAAACGCCGAGCTATTCCAACTGTTTGTAAACTGCGAAACGCCCTACAGTGCTAAAAATGTATTGGCATTTGTAAAGAAAATAACCAAGTTGGGAGGTTCGTTGATTATCGCAGTGGCTTCGAGATCTTCATTTTCTATTTATTTAAGGACCACAACGCGAAACAAAGAGAGCTGGGGGGAGGGTGCGGTAGGAGAGAGAGCGAGAACAAGGTAAAAATAGCAGAAGGATATGTCCTAACAAAATGTCTGTCCTTGGGAAAGAGGCAGGTAGAAGAAATGAAGTAAGCCGTAAGAAATAGTTCCATGAGCAAAGCCATGGGAGCATCATTCATCAACTAAGTTTTCTTAATGAATTTGTGTAACGGGCCCGCTGGCTGGCGAGTCACAACATAACTATGTTGGGTAGTACGATTAAGTAAACCTGCATATTTATGCTATGCCATCTTAGTCACACGTCATTAGGTGAACCACATTACCACCACCTCCCCCCAATCCTTTTACAGGTTGAATTACTGACCTAAGAAAACTCAGAATACACCTAAGTCTTTGAAGTTCTTTTGAGTTTTGAAGTGTGCCAAGGTGGAAAAATAATTAATCAAATTGAGGGACAGGGTTGTTTGTTTTTTGAGATGTGTTTAGTATAAATGATCTTTGATTATTTGATACAATTAAGTAAGATTCTTCCTCACAGCTATTAGCCCCCTATTTTTGAGGTCTTTTATGGTTTGACTGGAATAATTTTAAGAAAAATGTGGGGATTGGTGTATTTTATCTGCAACAACTCCCTTAAGGAGCCCTAAGTAAAAGCTACAACAAAATTTTTTTAAATCCAGTTTCCCTCAAATTGGCGAAATTCTGTTTTAATGGAAGAGGCACACTTCTAAATCCATTTTCAGCTGAATGTAGTGAATAGCCATTTTTCTTGCTCACCTTCAATGGAATCTGTGCTATTTTTGAAAATATGATATGTAAGACTGATCATTGTCAAAATGTGTGTCATCTTGAGATGACTATATTTAGCATCAAGAAAGGAATGCATTATCTACGCTTTTGAACAGTATTTTTCCCCTGAAATTACACTTGAAGTATTTAGGTTAGGGTTTCATTTGTGAACAGAATGAAAACTGAGTATGTATATTTGGAAGAAATTAATTGGTGATTTAGATTGCTTCGAACCTGAGTGACCTGAAATGACATACTTCATTTAGGAATAAAGGATAAAACCTACGGTTATCTTGAAAACCCCCTAAGGCAAATAAAAGTATTGTTTAAATAAAAACACATGCCTAGAGGAAAGAAAACAAAGCAGTAAGTGTAGAAAAGTATGTAATAGATGGGCAGATATCTAAAAAATTTTTTTTTAATTTTTTAACATTTATTCATTTTTGAGAGAAGGGCAGAGAGGGAGGGAGACCCAGAATCCCAAGCAGGCTCCGAACTCTGTGCAGCACAGAGCCTGATGTGGGTCTCAAACCCACGAGCGGTGAGATCATGACCTGAGCCAAAGTCAGATGCCTAACCAACTGAGCTCCCCAGGTGCCCTTATCTAAAAATTTTTATGGAAGAGAGGACTCAGTACATTTTAGTATATAAGCCATATACACACACAAAATATCTTGGTCTCTATTTTATGATTTAGAGGGGAAATGATCCACAGCATTCTTAACAATTTCACACATTTTTGTTCTTACTTAATTTGTGGTCTATATTACCTTTGTAAGTTTTTTTTATCTTCTTTCTTCTGGTTTTATAATTGGAAAATTACATTATTTACATACACTTGGAATTGTTACATTTTCTTTTTCTATGTAAATATTCAGTGCATTGTGTGGCTGGACTTATGGTGGTATACTCTATACATGAAGTGATAAGTGGGTTCTTACCCTGAAATCCAACTTATTTAACTTCTAATAAAATGTGTTTCTTTGCTTTAAACTTAATTTTTAACCATAAATATGGTTATATTATCAAGAATGGAGGGGCACCTGACTGGCTTGGTATGTCGAGCTTCCTACTTCAGTGCAGGTTATAATCTCACAGTTGGTGGGTTTGAACCCTGCATCGCTTCGGGCTTTGCTCTGAAGCATGGAGCCTGCTTTGGATTCTCTGTCTCTGTCTGTACCCCTCTCCCGGTTATTCTCTCTTAAAAATAATTTAACATTAAAAAAATTTATTAAGAATGGAAAAGGGGACCTTCAAAGTGCGACACACATTTTGTTAGTATTTTGATATATTTCCTTTTTTCTCTCAGTAGAGGTTCTTTTACTCGCTGCCCCCAACCCCCCCCTTTTTTTTTTTTTTTTCTTCTTGTCATCTCCTCCTTTTTGTTGTCAGATTAGAAGACAGATTAGGGCTCCCTGGGCCACGTTTTGAGGTTGGTGAAATTTGACTTCCACCTTCCTTTCTGTGCCTCTTTCTTGTCCCTTCCTCCCCTTTGACTGGGCCTCCGCCTTTCAGGCCAAACTAGGTCTCCCTTTGTCTCTCCATTTGCTTAGTGCTGCCTGTTCATTTAGATCGGGAGCCACACATTGGCAGCCAGAAAGCCACGTTCAGCCACAAACAGGCTTAACAAATAAAACACGGATTTCCAGCCACTGTTGAAAAATTGGAAGATGTTGGCAAAACTGGGTCATTTGTGCACGGCAACAATGCTCTGGGACAGAGTAGCGGCTTCCCCCTCAGGGTATATGCTCCTTTTGACATTGTCTCCACCATTCCCTATTGTTTTACAACCAGTCCTCACTCACAGTAACCGTCAATTGCAGTACGTCAATTGCAGTACGTCAATTGCAGTACGTAAGATGGACTTATATTACATTTACATTACCTGACCATAGACACTGGAGTATGCAGTCCCCTGACCTAAGTGTGAGGGCAAGTCTGAAGCTATATGATGGGAAGTCTGGACCTGGCATTAGGAATCCAGACTTTAAAGTAGATATATTTTGGTTAGCAACTCTTCTCTTAAATAATGTGATCATAGGACTGAGAAGAAGAGGTTAACATTCACTGACCCTAATTGCTAGTATCAATTTGAGCTGGAAGGGACCATGTATTGATAACTAAAGTGAGTAAAAAGATTTTAACTGGTGGGATTTCAGAAAGCGTAGGTATTTCTAGGAACTCTTAAATAATCCTAATCTCTCTCCCTCCTGGAAATGTTTAGGAGAGGTTTTTTGACCCCTAGAGATTGGCCGTAAAGAGGAGTCAACGACTGTACCTCTTCCGCCTTTCTACCCTCCCCTTCTTTGGAGGCAGGGCCTGGGTCTGCCCCTTCCCAGCTATGTCCTTCATTTGAAAGGCCATCTTCCACTTGCAGTGAAGGTAAGGAATCCCATTCTTCTCCAGAAATCACCACATCCATGTGATTTGGAAGCCAACTTCTGGTTTTCCGTGATACATAGTTTAATGTAAATCCACTCCATTTTACTTTATTTTCTTTTTTAAAACTTTTTTTTTAATGTTTTTGAGAGAGAGAGACAGCATGAGCAGGGGAGGGTCAGAGAGGGAGATACAGAATCTAAAACAGGCTCCAGGCTCTGAGCTAGCTGCAGTCCAGAGCCCGACGTGGGTCTCGAACCCATGAACTGTGAGATCATGACCTGAGCCAAAGTCGGCTGTTTAACCAACTGAGCCACCCAGGAGCCCTGTTTTACTTTGTTTTCTATTCATGCATGCATGCATGCATTTTTATCAGCAGCCCTCTTTTTGGAGATGTTAATCATAAGTTTTATTTGGTTGACTTTGGATTAGACAGTTTTCCTGTTCTCTCTTTGCCATTCATCTACTCCTCCAAATATGAGTTGACTATGTACTGTGTCCTAGTTGTGTGAGATGCTAAGGATGAATAGAGCAGGGGCACCTGAGTGGCTCAGTCGTTTGCATGTCTGACTTCAGCTCGGGTCATGCTCTCACAATTTGTGAGTTTGAGTCCCACATCAGGCTCTGTGCTGACAGCTCAGAGCCTGGAACCTACTTCAGATTCTGTGTCTCCCTCTCTCCCTGACCCTCCCCTGGCCACACTCTGTCTCTGTCTCTTTCAAAAATAAACATTAAAAAAAAAAAAAGTAGAGCAGCATTCTTGATTTTAAGGGTACCATAGTACAGTGATTGCTCTCTGAAAACTATCACATACAGTCATATGAGTGCAAAATATTATACATTATTAATACAGAAGAATGTCAAGGCAGGTTGAAAATAAGATTCTTTGTCACCAGTGAGGAATTGTTTATTGGCAGGAGGAAAAAAATCTATTTGAAACAGATAAAATAGGATCTAATTTAACATTTTTGAA